CGTCCAATTCGACCCCGAGCACACGTATAGTGGATACAGGGGTGAGGGTATGGCCATTTAGGCTCAAATATATCGGCGTCTGCAGGAGGCGACGGCGACCTCGTCTGTTGGTGATAGACATGAATGCAGTCTTCGTGGCAGATAGTGTCAGTCCTATGCGCGCACACCAGTCCGACGCCTTGTCGAGAGCACTCTGGAGTGCCTCCTGCTGGCGTTGAAGGTCTGGATGTAGTGTCCACACAGTCAAATCATCGGCATACAGGAGGAAGAAGGCATCTGGAATGCGTGCTAGTTGCCACGCGAGGGGCAACAGGGCAATATTGAAGAGTATCGGGGCTAGAACCGAGCCCTGCGGTACACCCCGCTTCATTACAAAGTGTCCGGTTCGTTCCTTGCCTACTCTGATGCAGAAGGTACGGTGTGCCAGAAAAGACTCCACAAAGTCGCAGACGCGAGGCGGAAGTTGAAGCCATTGCATTATGTGATTGATCGCAGAGTGGCTGACGTTGTCGTAGGCCTTATGAACGTCCATGGCGAGAAGGGTTCGAATGCTGCTTGATCTTCTTCCCACAAGCACCATGGACGTCAAATGATCTAGGCCATCTTCCGTGCCCAGGTGCGGTCGAAAGCCAATCTGGGCCGGATGGTACCAGGCGTGCTTTTCCAGCCACCAGGAGATGCGCGACGCCAACATGCGTTCAAGAAGCTTGCACAACGTACACGTTAGAGCAATCGGCCGAAGATTAGAGAGGCTGTTCGGGTGCTTTCCCGGCTTAGGTATCGGCACAACTTCGGCATGCTTCCACGATTCAGGCAGCCCTCCGGTCGTCCAGACTGCGTTAAGCGTGTCCAGCAGCCACTGCAGTGCAGGGCCATCCATGTTCTTGAACACTTCATAGGAGATCCCATCTGGTCCTGGTGCCTTGCGTACTTTTGCCTGGTCAATTGCTGCCTGGAGCTCCGCCATCGTGTATGGCGCTTGCATGCCTTCGATGTCCGACGGACTGGGAGTCACGCCAACCTCCGGAGGCAGGTTACACGGACAGTCGAATTGTGGTGGGGCCAGGTTGTAGGCCGGGAAGAAAGCCTTAACTATTTCTGGAGCGAACTGGCTTGGCGTGCATCCAGAAGACAGACACGCACTGGCCGCTGGGTCCGGCGTACGGGCGCCTAGTTCCATACTCCGGAACGTTCGCCATATTGAGGCGGTTGAAGACGATGGACCGAGTGACGCACACCAGTCCATCCACCGTTCGCGGGCGAGACGCTTCTCGCAGCGACGCGCCGCAGCGGTGAGTCTGTTGAGGTTATCACGAAGCTCAGCGGCTGCCGGATCTCGGTTTAAGGCCAGCTCTGCACGACGGCGTGCTGCCCACAGACGCAGAAGATGTAAATTTGGATGTGGTCGGTTCTCCTCTACCCAGCTTGACTGCGTGGCGGCTTGTACAGCTCTGGTTAACACCTGCAATGGATCAGACGATGTATCAGCAATCGAGTCGTTCAGTTCATTGCGGAATAAGTCCCAGTTGGTTGTGTAGCATCGACGTCGGAGGCGGCGCTGGTTATACGCGGCCAAACCAATTTTCAACGGATGGTGATCACTCCCCCAGCAGTCTGGTTCTAGGTCCCACGAAACGTCACACATGCCCAACCACCACGAGAGATCGGGCGCATAAGGTGGAGCACAGGGATGATCCCACCGACGTGTAGAAGTAGCCGGGGCATTCAGAAGGACAAAGTGCGCGTCTGTAAATGTGTCTAGCACGATGTTGCCTCTAGCACTGGAAGAAGGGTAGCCCCACGACTGATGAGGTGCATTGAAGTCTCCCCCAACTAGTACTGGGCACCCAGGATAGGTTTGACGCAGGTGAGCCAGCCACCCCAAACGCAGTCGGGGAGCGCTGCCACTGTACGGACGCACGTAAACTGAAACCACAATCACGTCAGTACGCGGAAGTCTAACGAGCACTGCCACCACTTCTTGCCACTGGTTACACCACTGCAGCAGGGGAACCTGCGTTTGAGGATATGTAGTCACAACATACACTGCAGCCTTGCCTGGAGGTCCCAACGCATTGGTGCAGCGTCGATCAGGGATGGTTGGGGAATCATACGCAGTGAATCCAGGGATGCGTGGAAGCGAATTCGTTTCTTGTAGAAGCAGGCACCAAGCGGGGAGCTTCCCCAGCGCAAGGCGATAGCGAAGCTCACCAACTTTATTTGCAAGTCCCCGGCAGTTCCACTGCAGGACACAGTGGTGGCGCGTTGCTTTCAAAGGAGTGGTCATTGCGGTGGAAGGTTGGCGAGCACCACCTTTGAAAGCTCTTGCAGTTGCCGGGCAACAAAGTGGAGGAGCTCTGCCGGAGTCATCTTGACTGGTGCTGACGCGCTTGCGCAGGATAATTCAGGCACAGAAGCAGCGTACGGCACGTCTGTACCGCGCATCGCAGTTGGTCCAGCGGGTCGAGCGAGATGGGTTCTGCGTTGAGCGAGGCGCTTGACTTCCATTTGGAGCTGCTGTATCTGTTGGTCAAGCTTCGCCAGATCGTCTGTACCCGTAACGCTCAATTTAGGCGTATTCGCAGGCTGCTGAACACGTTTTTTGCCCCGCTTGACGGCGTCGCTGTACGTGGGGACTTCATAGCAAGCATTTTCAGGTTCTACCAACGCTGGTGTGTCCTCTTCGGAGGGGGACAACAGTTCAAACCGGTTGCTAGTCGGAATGTCGGCGTCCCTTTCTTCTTGTGTCACCGAACGCTGGCGGCGCTTGCGTTGGCGACGGGCTTTGAGAGCCTTCTGTTTAACTGGACAATCTTTGGACGTTATTTCATGATCGTCCGTTTGGCAGAGCCCACATTTGTACGTGCGCGTCTCGACGGACTCCATGGAGGTGTCTGCGGGTTGGGGACAAGAATCTCGCATGTGACCGGTACGAAAACACCGATAGCAGTGTACCACACCGGGCTTGTACACATGAAATTTCAGGATGCATCCATAGTACGTAATGCGGCTTGGTGGCGTTCGAGGCCCTTGGAGAGTGACAAGGCACGTGCGTCCACGGCCCATATAACGAGCTGTTACAATCTTGTGTGTGGAGCAGGTCAAAGCAGTGATAAGGCCCTCCGGCGATTCCCCTGGGTCAACCCCAGAGACCACATACCGACGCAAGTCCGAGCCGGAACTCAAGTACGCTTGCACCTGTACAGTACAATCAGCTGTGACTGGCAGAGTTTGCAGGTGGGTGAGGCGGTCAACGTCTGCTAGCGAACGCACCCATACGGATACGCTGTTGGTGGGATGGTGAATGGAGAAACCTTGAAACGCGGTGGTTTTGAGGCAGGTGTCGAAGGCTGACTGAAGGAGGCGATTTGACAATTTTGATACATCGAAGCACTCACGAGGTTTTACGACGACTTTGTACTTAGACTCGGTGCCAGGCGAGGCGACAGCTGCCGGAGAGGGGCACTCCCGCTTGCTTGCCGGTGTGGCTGAAGCAGACAAATCATCTATTCCCATTTGTGAGTCAGCCACGCGTTTCGCACTGCGTTTCGGAGCGGATGATGGTTGTGATGGCTGCGTCTTAAGCTCCGCTGCAGCCATCGTTACTGGTTCACATGAAGAACACGGGAGCGTTGCCGCTGCCAGATGCAACCGGCGAGACGCCGGAACTGTCCTGGCGAGCGTCCCACGCACAATGTTGAAGTGAACGGCACCAAGGGTGGTTAGTCCAGGTCGTCGATGGTGTCCGGAAGAAGAGTGCTTGGGGGCGACCCCACGGCCTCGTCCAGGGCGTCCGGCAGGTCTGTCCTTAGCCGGTGGGGCCAGAGAGCTGGGCGGCGTTGCGTTGAGCCAGGGCGCAGAGAGTGGGGGAACGCCGGTGGGGCGATCGCGCGATTTTTTTGTCACTTCTAAGTGTAATATTTTGTCACATATGATCACTTTGGTGAGAGGTCAATGCTGGGGCATTTTGGTAGGAATTTAAACAATTTTTTTTTATTCTTTTAGGTATGCCAGCAGACAACTATCACATCTAATTTGGGTGGGTCATTCAATTTATGAGAAAAAAGTATAGTAATACTGACTGCACAATAATTAGGCACATATTTGCGTTTTTGCTGTAAAATACATTTAGAATTTGTTGTGACACTTCCATTTGCATTGTGTTTAGTCTCTAGAACCTTGGCATCAATGCATGTCACTACATTGATGCCTCTATAGCCCGATCTCGGGGCGAATAGGCAAAATTATTTTGCACTTCGTGCGCACTCCAAGTACCTGCAATAGTGGATGTATTGTAGACTGGGGCCACAAGTTGAACAACCAGCAATACTAGTGACAGAGAATATTGCCACAAGCTGAGAATATCATGTTCGCCAGCATCAGATATGTCTTTAGCCTCAGAGGTGATTGTCTGCCACACTTCCGTCACCTAGGGGGGCGCATCTCTTGTCTTGTATCCTACCACAATCTGATTACCGACAGGGGATCCTACTCATGACAAAGACATTTCCCCAAGAGTAAGGATGGTATGAAATGCGTGCTGCAGGAATTCTCATACCATGGCCAACTCACCGCTATTCTTAAAGTCTAAAGTGGACAATCGTTGCATTCTACCTGTACTCACTTATGGTCCAGAAAAGCTTTGAGGATAATGAGTAAACTTGAGTAGTAGTTAAGGGGTCCTACAATACTTGTTTCAGTGGGGTCATAAAACACTGCTGATCAGTAGTCGGGCTTTCGAAATGGCCTTGCCATATTTTTATCGAAAGACCCTGTTTGTGGACTTCCATTTTTGCCCTTTGATTCCGTCCTGATGTCTTTTGTTTTCTTCCTTTGCAACCAGGTGAAATAAAACTTTGCAAACTGCATTTTTTTTTCACCCACATCTTCGTTCAGTATAGAAAAGGTAGACAACCTATTTTTCATTTTCACTGTGTTGACATGAAAGAGTTATCTGTTACTCAGTAAGCCCTATACGATTTTTTTTTTTTTTTTTTCAGTGCTCATACGAAAAGATGGAGAACTGTGACACGTATGCACAGGACGATGAACGGGCATCACGCCCCAACCTGCTTGACCTTCCCTCCGAGATCATAGAGAAGATACTGCGGCATACGAACTTTGCGACCATTAGCAACACTCGCATGGTGAGCAGCCGTAAGACCTTGGCGAACCTTGTAAAAACATTGACCTTCTCTGAATTGTTTATTCGAGAATCAACTAGTACCTATGGATCCTGCCGAGCAACTGGTGTGTGCTCAAAGTGTATCGGAATTTTTAGTGCAGTGGCGTTTAGGAAGAGGAGTTGATGAAAACACTTTGCAGGGGAGACGTAGCTGTGCCTATCATATGATGCATGTATGGCTGATCGGACAATGTAGATTACGCACTCATGTACTGAAATACTGTTAACTACACTTTTTTTTTTCTTTAAAGAGCCTCAATAACCAAAGAGGATCACTAGTTAGCATCACGGGGAAGACACCAACAGAAGCATTTTAGAGGCAACATACAAAGCTAATTGCTTTGCATTAAAAAAGAAAGGTCATTCTGAAATTTCTTATTACGTGTTGGCAGCTTCCAGCTCATAAAAAGTTAACGTGCTACTGACGCCAGCGGGCAGTAAAAGAGTGTTCTACACTCTCCGTCATGGCTACTGGTGGTGCTAACCAGCACTCCGAGATTTTAGTGCATATATACACCCCATAAAGTGAGCGATGAAGATGACCACCGCTGTAGCTCAGTTGGTGAGCATTGGATGCATTACACTGAAACTCCTTTGAGTGGCATGCTCCAGGCAGCAATTCTTGTCTCTTATAAGCAGGGTTCTATATATGCGTTTTTTTTATCAACCCCAATTTTAAGGTAGGCACACTGGTGTCTCTTGCCCCGCCGCGGTGGTCTAGTGGCTAAGGTACTCGGCTGCTGACCCTCAGGTCGTGGGTTCAAATCCTGGCTGCAGCGGCTACATTTCTGATGGAGGCGGAAATGTTGTAGGCCCGTGTACTCAGATTTGGCTGCACATTGAAGAACCCCAGGTGGTCGAAATTTCCGGAGCCCTCCACTACAGCGTCTCTCATAATCATCAGTGGTTTCGGGACGTTAAACCCCACATATCAACACTGGTGTCTCTTATACCCATTCGTTTTTTATATAAGTGTTTCTTTTAAAAGGATTTGACTGTATTCGAGGGTTGCAGCTTGGGTCTTTGATTATCTTTTCACCCACTTTTCTTCCTTCACATTTACATGGCAATTACTTCTCATAACATCCTCTATTTTGTTTTTGGCATCATTATCTGTTAATTCTTATTAATATTGTGTAGAACAAAGAAAAATTAACCCTTAAGTTTCTGTTTCTTCCCTGTTTTCTCATTAGTACATGCTAGCCTGGACACAGCAAAGCTCCCTCTGTCTTTGTCCATTGTAGTAGAGTGTCTAGATATCGATGTTGTTCATTTCAGGTGTGCCACCACCTGAATGATGCAGCATCTGGACTTCTCAACTCAGAGTTTGTGCGGCTGCGGGGTTCCATGCAACAGCGCTTCCAGGCCATCAAGGCACAGATGCCGCGACGGGAGTCGGCACGTCGCAAGCATCCGCTCTCACGCGAGTGCGACATCATTGAGACGGTGCACATGCGGCTGACTCTGCTGCAGATGACTTTTGGGAAACACATTGAGCGAAAGCATTGCTGCTTTTTCCCAGGGGAGGTACGCTATTTACGCTAGTCACTGGCTTTACTTTCATAATTCGTGCTGTTTTCGTGTAAATGCTGCTTATGGACTGGAACATGGACTGTTCTGGCCCGAAGTGTTCTTGGGCTTTAAACACCACATCAGGTTTTACAAATTTTCACGGAGTCCCCTCCTTTCACTGATTTGGAATTTTTTAAGTTGTGCTCTAGCGGCCTTTGTTGTCCATTCATCGTGTCTTGTCACATGATCACACAGTGGTTAGTACAGTCCAAAAACAAGGCAAACAATGCTCAAAACCAGTTTGTAATGAACAGAGTAAATTAGTATGAACTACAGAAATAACAAAGAATTAAACAAAATAATTATCATAAAATCACAATCAACATCTTTTGAAAAATTCGTCTTACACCCACGCCGCACCACTGTCTCGGCAAGTTAGCAATTGCGCAGGGTTGCCCATGCTACACACTTCGTTGTGTTTTATGGTAATAGAGCTGCATTAAGCATAGGACCATGCTTCCGTGTATCAGGTAATTGGCGTGGGCTTAATTGTAATTATTAGAGCTGTGCAAATAGCAAAATTGGGGTGCAAAGTGGACTCGAATATTTAAGTGGAAGTGGGATTTGCATCGAATATTTTTCTATTTTAGAGCGAAATTGCAAAAAAAGAAGTTGGAGAGGCTTCTTAAGCATATTTTTGTGAGAAAAGCAACATAAAAGTGTTTCTTTTGGCTAGGTTGATGAAGTGCTGGCAGGTTGGTCTTCCATATCAAGAATAAGACTGCGGCAATGCAGAAGCTGAATTGTGTTAATGTTTATGATTTCGTGCAATCAAAGTGTTTCTGACAACACTTCACACAGAATAGTCAAAGACACTTTTTTCAGCTGCTCATCCTCTTTCAACTTTTGTGCTTGCTCATCCTCTTTCAACTTTTGTGCTTGCCCAACTGATTGGGCGAATAAGGGTGTGCTCCCTTAGAGTTAAGGACAGAAGGACGAAGTAAGGACAGGGCGGTTAGCCAGTTCTCAGACCGGCTGGCTACCATGTGCTGGGGAAGGGGGTAAGACGAATAAAGGATTACATAAAAGAGACGTTAAAGGAAAAAAAGAAGAAAGAAGGTCAACAAACTGTATGATCGACGACACTTACAGTCTGTCTGTAAAACCACTTGTCCGCAAAAAGCGCACCAACGCTCTCAATGCTTTGCATGCCGAGGACGCTAGCAGATACTACCCATTATCGTGAACAATCCATCCTTATATGTCATTTTCCATAGCCTAACACCTGGCCCAGCTGCGCCTAGTCCCTGCAGCGGAAGAACTGTAATGGTCGGCTTAATTAAGCTAAGACTAATAAAGTCATTCCTAATTTATCTAAAGGAGAGCATAGCCAATGTGAGCTCAGCTGAGCCATTTGAAGCAGGGCCAATTTTAATTAAGCCATTTTAAGTTGAGCCAACTTAATTATACTAATTAATCAAACATAATTAAAACAGTTTGACTTAATTCTTGAATTCGAATTGCTGATTTCGGCCCTTCATGTTGTTATCAAGCCTATCCTGTGTTCTTGAATTCGAATTGCTGATTTCGGCCCTTCATGTTATCAAGCCTATCCTGCGTGTGGGAATGGATGTACTAATCTGTACTAAGTCATATTAAGATAAATACAGGTCGATTATGCTTTGCTTGGTGAGTCCATGATAGAATAAGCCACCCTGAATTTAGTCGATACGAGTTAAGATAACGTCATCTGTGCTCTGACCGAGTATGTGCTCGGCTGGCCACCAGCTCTGCTGAATCAGACCTTGCACCACTATTGCAAAAAACCTGAATTTTTTATTTATTAATTTTTGTAGCATACATTACATTATCTGGGCATATCATGAAACGTGTACACTCAAACTTCATGATAAAAAAAGTTGCATCTTGCATGAAATAAATTCGTTATATCTGAAAATTCGTTATAAAGATTTATTTTTCACACTATATCTATAGCAAAATATTTTTAGTTTTTTTTATGACCGATATTTCGTTATATCGAGGTTCGAGTGTATTTGAAGCATATGGTAGTCGGCGATATCGGCGGCTGTTCATGTCTCGAACTTGTGTACATGGTCTTTGTATATGCCAACTCTGTGGGCTCTGGGCATCCTGTTCAGATCTTGGACGAAGTGCACCGCATCCTGAGGTACGTGGAGGTGACGCCCACGCTGAGCCGTGCCTACAAGGTGACGGATGAGCTCTTTGACCTGACCACCATGGCCATGGAGTACTTCAAGGAGCACATTGAGCCCACGCTGCCCGAGATCAGCTACTTCGCAGCAGACTTCCTTGACTATCCTCGTGAGCACACTTCCGTATCCCGCTTCCTCCTATGTCTCAATTTTCTACGAGAAACATCGAACCACAAAGGGATGAATTGCCGGGTCTTTTTCATTGCTGTGCAGCTTGCTTGAAAAACCAGTCGCTGATGGAGTCGCTGTTTGAGCCACCGCAATGTACAAGCATGCAGGGCTCATCGTCCAGTGCACCCCAGTCTCCTCAGCCACCTCCAGTCAATCCAACAGTGAAGAAACGGCTACGAAAGCTGAGGGAAAGCATGAAGAAGTGAGTCATATTATGTTGGAGCCGCTTTGTGTTAGTGCATCGGTAGTGCGGGTTGTAATAGACCCATCATCGTCATAATGAGCAATCGCTTTATGTCCTCCTTGATGGTGACAACTGCTGTCATTCAGGTGACTACTGTATTTTCTTACGTATAACCTGCACTACTAACTTTGACTTTACAAAAAGAAAAACAATTTATCTTATCCCTACGTATAACCCACACCCCAGCTTAATAAGCGCATTTTTTGTCTTTTTTTTTTGTGCAGGTTTTATGCGAGAAAATTCAGTAAGTGCTAGCTTTTTGTCTCCTCCCTAACTTCGTTTTCCGCAGCAATTGTAGCGCAATTTTTTTCAGTCATGAAAAACTAACTAGCCCAACACCTCACTTTGCTAGCTTCTCTTGTTCCTTTTTCCTGCTGTTTAGTTCACATGGATCTTGAATGAAACTGTGTGGACAAACCATGCTGGCACATAATGCTGTGCACAGATAAGACTGCACTGCCACTTCACAGAGCTTTAAAAAAATCAAGCTTTACTCATTGGAATCGTTGCAAACTGGATAACCCGGGACATCACTAGGCGATTAGAAGCAAGTTTTGTCCTAGGCTAAACATATTAAAGCGATTTTTTTTAACGGAGTGTTTACACAGAGAGACGGAACTGAGAATTCAACATTGCATTCAAGTGATTCTTACCATGTTTTGATATTGGAGTAATTAAAAGAATGCCAAGAGCCAAATGCTAGCACTCTGGTGTCTCACCAGAGTGCAATTCTGTCGTATGTTTGTCACATGCTTTAGCTTGAATCAACTCTCATGGAAGAAAGCTTCGAATGCTCCGAGCAGAAGTGTGATACTGGGATTGAAGCGAGCAAATTAATTTCGCGTACGCGATTTCAATTTCCCAAATGATTACAGTGGTGGAAATTGATAGTGGCCATCAATCTAGTGAGGTCAAAAATTTGGACCCTCACAGATCTGCTTGCCAGTACATTAAATTATTCAGAAAATGAATTTCTTTCTCCTTGGCACATTGTTATTGTCTCACCCTTTTTCTCGAGGAGCAGGGGTTGTGGCACCACATTGATTGTTACTATGGTGACAGCATGATTGCTGTGCAGGATTTAGTAAGCAGCGATGGTCTGCAAGGTTCTATTAAGTAGGAGCTTTCAGCTCATGTCATTGGCATCATGCGTGGCAAGTGTTCTGTGTAGGCTTGTGCAAATATTCGAACGAATAGGAGGGTATTCGAATTCGCTGTGATTTGACTTTAAGTTATTGGAGATTTTAAAGTATTTGCAAGGAACGAATATATGTATATTAATCCGAACGTACCGCCTGTAAAGGTGGCTTCACTGCAGTGTAGAAGTGGTAAATCGTGACGGCACTTATCCACGGGAAATCAGCTCTGCTGCGAAGATGCCCTTCAAATTTAAAGGGATTTGCAACACTTTTTGAGCATTGTCGGAAAACGCTGCCGATCGGTAGTCTAGGCTGCCGAGGACACGCGATTCAAATATTATAGCGCAGTGCCCGGCCTGAAATACACAATAAAATCTCAGTCATCTAATAATTGCTCCCTCCTCTCGGCAAATGACTCCACAAGCCACTAAACCGACCGCGCAGTAAGCACTGGGCTTTATTAACATTGGCGTTACTTGTCGAGCGTTTAGTATACTGCACACATCGGCACCAACTTCTTAATGTAGTATCAAACCCTGGATCAGAGTCGGCGCCAAGCACGACCTCTGTCCACGCTTCTCGATCTCGTCCTCGAGCACCAAGCTCCCTTCATCTCCATTGCTCTTCATTGAATACCTACCTCCTTTCTCATCTGAGACGGCCTCGTGGGACAAACCCCTTCTTGCTGCTTCACTAATGCAGCAAACAACTTTCCTTTCCTCAGAGACATGTCTGTGCTTCTGTGCTCCCACACTTTGCTCTCGTCATCCTCCAAGAAATCAGCTAAGGAATAACTCCGTCATTTCGTTAACGTACATCTTAAATATAATTTCGCGCAACGGCAAGCCTGGCTAGACAACCGGTTGGACACGACACTGCCGTTTGTCTACACTTGCTGTGACAGCATGCCGCATCATAATCCTGTCGAGAGCGGTTTCGCGAAAGGGACCACTTGTATCTCAGACAGGCTCACCATGAGAACGCTTCCACCGTGCGGGTGACTCATTAGCACAAGGTGCGATGACAAGAGCTCACGGTGTTTGGCAACAAAAGCACGTGCAGAGGCAAACGGCCTAGTACACTATCTGCGCAGCCACTTTTCATTATTTCCCCTTTTCGTCAGGTGCCGTCTACCGACTGGCCATCCTTTGCTTGCCCCAAACATAACTGTGGTGTTGCCGCTGGTAGTTTTTCTTGCATGTTTTCTGGCTAACTCAACAACTTGCGCCATGGGCCCTGCTTCTAGTATTAACTCGCACCACTTCACTGTCCTTTGAAACCCTTTCGAGGCCAACTATAATGATGTGTGTATATATACTTCATTGACAAACAGAAACAGCGGGCAGGTGCTGGCGCTGCGTCGAGAGCTGAAGCTGACACGCCGGCGGGTGACCAACCAGCACCGGTACATAGTGGAGATGAAGGCCCGCCAAGACGACTACGACCAGAAGCTGCAAACGACGTCGCGCAAGCTGAATGCGGTGCTGCAGGAACTCAACCGGTGCAAGACGGAGCTTCAGTACTGGCGCTCCAAGTCACCCGCTGTGCCAACCTGCACCTGCGGCAAAACCACTCTGCTCGGTGGGGGACCCTCCCAAGATGCCCCCATCGACTTCACACCCATTGACTTCCAGGAGGCGCCCTCTTCCTCCTGCACACTGCAGGGTGAGTTTGCATGACGATGAGACTTTATTGCAGGCTAGTTGGTTCCTTTTGATCGAGTAGTGTACTGCGCAAGAGCAAGCGAGAAAGCAGGAAGAGAGATGGGAAAGAGTGCAGACTTCCGATTGTTCATTTCCTGAGAACAACACGCCAATATATGTAAGGGCCAAGCCAATAATATATAGGTGTCGAAACCAATATACTCTCAAACCTCGATATAACGAAACATCAGTTATAACAAAGTAAATAAAGAATAGCCTTGCAGTAAATATAGTGTTAGAAATATACCTTTATAACAAATTTATAACTTATTTTCGTGTAGGATGCAACTTTATTACAATAAGGTTTGACTGTATAGCCATAGACAACACATGCACATAAGCATGAAAACATCCTAACTTCTGTAAATGCTGTTACGCAAGTGTTACAAGGAGCAACAAAGCGGTCGCACGTATGCGAAAAATTATGAGCATCAAGGACGGACATGTGTAAGCACCACACTTCGTGGTACTTGTGCTTTATTGCATACCGTATTTACTCGCATAATTTTCGCACTTTTTCTAGCGGAAAACAGATGAATTGTTGGGGGGGTGCGAGAAGTACACAAGGAAAATTTTCCACAAAAACGTACGAAGAGGGGTGGGGGTAAATACAAAGTTGCCGGAAATCGGGATTCCCACGCTAGCAACTAGCTAGAAGCTTTGAGAAGTACTACTAATCAAGACTCACTTTAACAGTAAAACCACAGGTTCGACACAAGGCAAGGTTTATTTGTGACACAAAAGCTGCACGCAAATAGTACCGAGTTTTGGAATACTGTATGCAAAGCCTGTGGGTGTAGCGTCAGCATTCGTCACTCAACGGGAGTCCGCAATGGTTAGCGTACCACATCGACCTTGGAATAATGGCTATCCAACACGCGGTCCTCCGCAGTTGCCTTCTGAGGACATAGTTTTACGATCTATCTCCGTTTTAGACACACGGAAGGCCCAGCGCGTCTTGGCGACTTTCAGCTGCCCGTGCTGCTGTCGCCAGTAGCAAACACAAAGCTCGTCGACTTCAAAGTGCCTTCTGGCGGTCCTGTTGCCATTGTTTAGTGCATGATCAATCACTTCAAACTTGAAAGCAGCCGTGTAGATACCTTATCGCCCTATAGCGTAACCACAGAACGGACAGAACATACATTGAGTCTTGCAACGCGCACTTGCCACTTTGACTTTGCTTAGATTGGATTAAGGTGGCACCAGGTAGTCGTGCACTATCATTTTCAGTGGTTGGAAGAAGCAGACGACATAACAGGTGCAATTTTCTGGGGTGTGATAATTTTGCGGAAAAAATAACATATTTTTGTGGGGCAATATCGAGGGTTCGAGAATAATGCTAGTGTGAGGATTAAGAGAGTAAATATTGTATACTGTAGAAACCGGAGATAGCGAAATCTCGAAATAACTAAATTCTCACCACAACGAAATATTTTCGCAGCACCAGCAAACACCCATAGGATTCTACGCATTTCATAACTTGCAACTACGAAACATAAATTTACCATATTCCCTGATGAACAAAGTTTTTGAGACAAGAGTGCATAATGTTACACTCATAACATTAACTGCATTCAAAAACTGCTAAAATGCATTAGTGGTACACTGAAATTGTGCATAGTTGTCGCCACAATGCACTTGCACAGCCACCGCCATCATTGCTTTTAAAAAGAAGCTAGCGACAATGATGATGGTGTGCCCATCTGTGTAGGTGATTGCACATGATGGTGTGCCCATGTGTGCAGGTGATTGCACAGTGTCCCAACCAAGAATGCTGTACCAACTGCATTTTTAAAGGGGCTCTGAAACACTTTTTTTTTTAGGTAACCACAGAATGGATTCACTAAAAGAGCTTATTGCCTCACGAATTCAACTCTGCAGAAATTTTAAGAATCCATCCAGTACGAGTGGAGTTATAGAGAATTGTCGCACGCTGCAATTGCGTTCTCTCGTCACGGTGAAATGCTCGAGGCTAAGCAGGAAGGGACGGCAGGGGCAAATAAAATACGTCATGCACCTTGTGACCTTGGGCGCTTTTTTTTTTATATCGAATACGCAGTTTTTTTTCGTGTGATTGCACACGCATGCGTGGACAAGTCGCAGCCTCTTGCGGCGATCCCTATAACGGCCGAGCGAGCCATGTTCAAATTATCCAATGGCTGATGGCTTTTTACGAGTGATTTTTGAGCATCTTCAGTAATTTCTCAAGGAAAGAGAAAGTAATCTTTAGCTGGCTTTGATCATATATTGTGAATCCCAGGCCGCGTGCTGCGCTATAATGTTTGTCTCGCTTGTTCTAGGGAGCCTCTACTACCGATCGGCAGTGTTTACTTACCATGCTCAAAAAGTGTTGCAGTGCCCCTTTAAATACAAACCACAAATACCTGAGGCGGCCTTGCAGTAGGCACGTGTAAACATCTTAATCGGTCAACGTGAAAACACCTGCTTGTTATGCCGACTCGTAATCACAGACTACGTAGCCAAATCCACAACCACAGAGTTTCGTTCGTTGGCCATCTGCTTTGCGTGCCCATTGCTGCCACACGTGGTCGCATGTGTGGAGTGGTAGCACTCGCTCTGTGTGCTTGGTGCGGTGTAATCTGTGTGTAGAGAATGTACGGTCTGTAGAACGACCCCGGACGATGTGTGTAATAACTTGGACTCGAGTAGCTCGTTTTTACCACATGGCAATAGACCACTTTGTCCAGTGCGAGTCAAAAGCTATGAAATTGTTGCAGGGAAAGGCTTGGCAAAGCAATCTTAGTAGTATTGCCTTTTGGAAATAAAATGTGGAGTCAGTTCCCTGTCTTTTCTGCCGCATCCTTGTGCCACTGAAGTTCCTGCAAGAGCAAAATTTTTTGCTTTCCCTGCCGATTAACAGTAGACTCTCGATGATACGAATTTGAAGGGAGCACTCAAAGTATTCGTATCATTCTGAATTCGTATGAACCAAAAACAAGTTTAAGCTGATCATGAAGACAAACAAGAACTTTATTGGAGTCAACTAATACTTGCTGAAAAAGCAAAAAAAGTCCATGATGTTATTTTGATGTTATTTTGAACCGTCCTACTTTCACTGCCTCTCAATAAAGTGCCGCAGTTTCCTCATTCGTGCTGCTGGCGCTATAAGGCGCGTTCACACTTGGCACCCAAGGAAGCGAAAGTGACAAAACTTAATGGAAATTCACTCGTTTCGCCACTTAAGCAGCTGGAAAAATGCGCCGCAAAGTCCACACAAAAAAAAGTCAGTTCTGGAGAATTCACTCTGAAGTATTCAAGCAAAAACGCCAGAGCAGCCGCAAAACCACGTCTGTGCCCATCGGATATTTTCAAATTCGTTTTGCCCCTTGCGTACGTGCCACCATTGCTGTCGTCGCCGCTTGAGAATTCATTCCTGAACATTAAAATCAGTACTGAGTTCTAGTTACGCATGCAAAGCATTGAAAAGGAACAATTTACACCTTAACAAACGATCTTTCGGGAGATACGCCAGAAAAAACAACACGAGCGAGTGCACCGGCAGTGGTGGCGACGGATTCAGCCAGCAGTGCAAAACGAAACACGTCAGGGCACGTCAACTCGCTGCTGCTGCCCCTTCTACTTCCGGTGTTCGCAGTGATCTTAATTCAAACCAGGCTGTCGATGAACGCTTCCTTTTCAAGGCCTTGAGCTTTGTCGTGCTGCGTGGGTAGTTTGCGATTACTCTGGCACGAAACACTGCTGACACCATTGCCGCCTTGTTAAATGTACGGCTGGTCGTTTACATCCCGTGGTTTGAGTGCTAGTGCAGAAAGTGTAGCCAAAGCTGTAGCAGAAAGGTTACCTGCTATCGTGTGGGGGCAAAATTGGTCTCCGCCGATTTTTTTGACTTTGGCCTCACGGCAAGGTTTTCCAGCCACTTTGCCAAAGCGAAGCGAGGAAAATATTCGCGAGTTTTGCCGCATTCGCTTCCTTCGAGGCCAAGTGTGAAGGTCTTCTTCCCACAGACAAGCAGCATTGCGCCGCTCATATACAGCGGTCAACCGCCCGTTCATATCAACTGTAGTAGCTAGGGAAACCACTCGTATAACATCGAATCATGGCGTATTTTATATAATGCAGTCCATCCGAAGCAACCTTAAAATTTGTATCATCGTGAAATTCGCATCAACTGCAATCGTATCATCAAGATTCTACTTGGTTATTGCCGGTGTCAACTGTACAATGCAATTTTGTTGGTCATTGTCAGTCTTGCGCAACAATGCTCACAGAAGTTAAAGAGGCCTTGCAACACTTTTTCAGCATGGTCAGAAACTGCCGATTGGTAGTCAAGGCTCCCGAGAACACGCGAGCCATCCGCGTATTCGAAAAAAAAAAAAAATGAAGAGAAAAGGTGCTCAAGGTCACGAGATGCGCATGACATTTTTCTTTGCCTGTGCCAACCCTCCCTGCTTAGCTTCCAACACTTTCACCGGGACAGGAGAAGAGAAAATGTTATTGCAGCGTGCGTCAAATCTTTGTAACTCCTCTCATACTGAATGGATTCTAAAAATTTTTGCAGCAGTGAATCCTTCAGGAAATGAGCTCCTTTATTTATTTCATGTCATGGCTACTTGAAAAAATGTTGTGGCCCCTCTAAGGGGTTTGTGCACATCGGCGGCGCATGTGTTGTGTGTGCCTATGTATTGGCTTGTTGTTCGCAAGAAATGAACAGTTCGAAGTATGGACTTTCCCATCCCCTTTTGTGCTTTCTCCCTTCATGTTTGCACAGTAGGCCACCCATTTGAGTTCATGTTATTGATGTTCCACAGTGGGCACCATTTGGCTGTTGCTTGTTCGTCTGAAGCTGCAGCTGCACACTCGTTAAAGAGCTGTACTATTTAACGTTGTGCGAATAGCAAAAGTAGCTTTGCTGCAATACGAGTGTGTGATGAGGTGAAGCATATTCAAAATTTTAGGGGTTTATTTTCAATCAGACATTGACTTTATTTGACTGTGAAGTTTGAATAGTAAAATTCCCATGGGAATTGAATCGAATAGCAAACACTATGCGAAAAATATTCGAAATTTCAAATATTCGCACACCTCTTGTACTAATAAAATTAAGGTTGGTTTCATGCGGAAAATAAGTAAAAATAGTACGTAGTGAATAGCAATGCCCAGCACTGCATCGACATCACAAATTTTCCTTGATGCATAAGTTCGAGCTTACCTTGCCTGTTCTAGCCTAAATGCTGCTGCTGTTGAGACATATCAACCAACGCCTAGTCCTCGATTTCTAATTAATCATAACAAGCCTAGTAACAGGGCTTAGTACCGTATTTACTTGATTCCAATGTGATGAGCAACATTTCATTGCATCCTGTTGCTAAAAAAAAAGTAAGACAAAAAGTTTTTGTGCATGACTGCACTTTTTAGACAGTTGGAATTTCGGAATTCGATGCGACACAAAAATAAACTTCAGATAACGCAAATCTAGGCAAAATCTCTAGTTGCATTTGAATAAATATGTTTCTTCTGCATCCGTCATTTCACTCAGGTGCAGGAGAGGTGAAGCTAGTGCCCGCTTGCTACGGAACTCCACCGGAGAACATCGTTCCCAGCCTGAGTGACTCTGAGTGTTTGGCATTTGAAGAGGATACGGCGGACGCGTTGCCCGCAAACAACGTCGCACCCGTCGACAAGCCTGCACCAGCGAGGGCGTGCAAACGCAAGTTGGATATGGACGGAGAAGGAGCCGCCTCGTCATGCCTGGTCATCAAAGTACAAAGGAGCTCTTTGCCAAACGTGAATTAGCGACGCCGTGATGCTGACTGATCGTCCCCTCGTATTTTTGCGTTTTATACCTTCGAGCAGGCTGCTCGTTTACCTTATGTTGTGTGTGCATCTGTTGTGTACTTGCGTTGCGTGTGTGTTACTGCCTGTTTTTTTAATTTCGTTTTGAAGACCATCTTGGGTGTGACTGAACGGTCTGTCTGAAGCTTTCTTATCACTTGCACAGGCCAGACTAGATTTGGGAACACCCTTTTTTTTTTTTTTTTTTTGTCTTGTACTTTATGCTTGTAGCATCTGTGGCTTTGTTGCGAGTTTTGTTGCCAGAACCAGCGACTCTTCCATGTAAGAAATGTTGTTCTTTTTAATAAGGAGCTGCAAGCTTGACAGCGTGCAAGGCCTCATGATTAGTAGTGATAGCGTCGAGGTGTACACTAGGTAAATGGTAGTCTGTCAGATACTGTTCAAGAGCCTGTGCTATAAAAAAGTGGTGCATAACAGGGAAACGGGGGTTCTGTCTCTTCTGGCAGTGAACTATTACAGGGTTATAGTACATTGTAGGAACAGTGCTCCTGTATCATTCGAACTCAAAGCAGCATGATCAACATGTGGGATTTGATAACTTCGGCTGCAGCAGTGCCTGAGAAAGGGCAGCTCTCATCTTGCTGTATGCTGTTAACCGAACTGCGTGTTCTCCAGGTTGCCTCCCCCGCACTGTCCACGTGATGTTGAGGAATTTCAGCTGAGTGTCTGTATGTTGAGAAGAGTGAATTGTTTGGATGGGTATATATATATTTCTTTTCATTTGCAGCAATTTCTCGATGTTGTGCACACAGTCCAAAGGTACCGCCTTTGTAATTTTATTAAAATTTGGTGCAATTTGTACCGAATCTTTTAGGAGTAGAAAAGGAATGTCTAATGAAAGCTGACAAGTTTACGGGAAAGGGTAGTGATAAGATTTCAGTATGGCTTTATGGTAGAAAGTGAGCAGTTTGATATAGGACCAAATTCGAGCTCTAAACTCTTTGAGCTGAATTTGCATAGGGCTGTAGTACCTGGGCTATGGTGATGTCTGTCTTACAATTCAAGTGCACCTACGTAATTCAGGAAAAGCAAGAAAAAAAATCCTCTTGTTTGTGTGTATTTGTAACTTGGCACTTCTGTATGTTTACATGACTTCCTGCACAACTTTCCTACTGTAACTTTGGAATGCACCATTTAACTTTCACCTTTATTTTGACAAAAGTTGTGTTGCACAAAGCTGCTGACATTATCATGGCATCAATGTTAGATTTGTACTCTTCTACAATGAAACGCACACTGATAGTCTTTTTTTTTTTTTTTCACTTGTGACATTTTCTTTACGAAGGAATGTGTTCAGCATTACAGCCACATTGGAAGGCTATATTAAGTTGTTTTGTTTTGTTTTTCAATCGTGGGTAGGCAGCTTGCTTGCTCATCAGTCGTCAAGATGGCTATTATTGTTTTTGAGTGAGCTCTGCTTTAACCATTATCTTGATGAAGTCAGCGAAATGTGTAGTTGTACTGGTTGCTTAATACAACATTGCTTGTCAATTGATTGTGTAAGGTGGCCAGTTATTGTTCAGTAGAATATTTCTTGCAAGCTGCTTTTACATTCGCATCTCCACAATTTTGTAATGAACACATGAAATTTGGGGATGCATTAGCCTCTTTAATGTCATCCTCCAGTGTCTCATATTATACTTAATAACTAATGCTGCTTATTGCATTAATAGGTTAATTATTTGAGCTGTGGTCTAGCCTAACTGGTTACAAAGGCAAATGGGAGTGTGTGAAATCCTAATACAATTTCGCTGTTGGAAAACACTGACTTTGTTTCCCTTGAATATCTAGTACGGCATGGGGTGTCTCTGGCAAGTAGAAGGGTGAATGGTTCAGACTGTTCCAAAGTTTGCATTTGCTGGTTAGCTCTGCTGGTTGTGTGGAGGAAGCTGGTTATTGGTTAGTTATCAATTGAACGGCCACACTTAAAAGGACACTAAAGAGCAACACTTTTTTTTTTTTTTTACACTAAAGGGCAAAACAGTTTTTCTAGTATCAATAGTAAATTGTTCTTTCGCCCCATTTGCCATGACATTGCATACTTTTACGGTACCTGCTGAGGTCTCCGTATATCTTTATCAGTAAAAATAAAGTGAAGTGTCCTCTGAGGTGGCCATAGACTTGAGGGTAGATCTGTGCAAATAGCTAAATTTTCGATGCAAAGCAAATTCAAATATTGAAAGTGTGTGTGTCAATCGGATTTAATATTTTTCTAACATTTCTAGAATATTTTTCGAATGCTTCTAAGTGATACTGCAGAAAAAAAAAAGCTGGCTGAGAATTCCCAAACATATTCTTGTGAGATAGCAACGTGAATATATTTCTTCTCGCTACGTTGAAGTGCTGGCAGAGTGGTGTTTTATAGTTATCAAGAATGAGGCAATGCAGAGGCGTAATTCTAATTAGCATGTACATGATTTGGTGCAACCGGAGTTTTGCTGACGACACTTCACTCATGAAAGGCAAAAAGACTCTGTTGCCTCGTCCTCTGCTCCTTTTTCAACTTGTGTGGAAACCAAAGTGCTGTGGCAGACTAGGGTGTGCTCCTGTTGAGTCTAAAGTTCCAAATCTGCCTCGTAGATGTCGGCACAGTTAAGAACATCTAAAGTTTTGAGTGCTAAAAATCTTCAGCGTCCGATTTTTCATACTTTTTGCCCAACTTTCAGGTCGAAAACGACATTGAGGCCCCACCTCTGCATCTCCATGCATATCTCCATGTTGGAGTCAGTGTTTTTCTTGAATCAATACATTATCAACTGTAGCGAAGCCTGAAAGGCAGCTTTGCCACAATGAGTGAGTGTGATGAGGTGAAGAATATTAAAGGGGTACTGACACAAAAAATTTGGCCACGCGTTTTTCTGCTGTAATGCGTTGTTGTAGGGCTGTTAGTCATGACACGACACCATTGTTTGCTGCAGCATGCGACAGATAATCAATTGCAGGCCCCTCGTTATGGATCAGTTTCGGTTTGAGTGAGTTCCAAAAACTGGGTCCAACTGTTGCCACCTAGCGTGTGCAACTATTGACCGCGTCAGCACACAGAACTGTGATGCACTTCCGCACGATTCGCAACAAGCATTATTTTTGAATAGGAAACGGCTTAGGAATGTCGCCAAACACAAAACTTGGTAAGCGTGCGCCACGGCCATTGCACTCCCAACCAGCCGCCGAGAAATACAGGCTTCGGAAACCAACGCGGCAAAAGAAAAATGGCGGCTATGATGTTATCATCACTTGTTTTGTTGGCCTCAGTGAGGTGACGTGAGGGAAGTAGGGGGTCACCTCCGAAGGTGTCTGGCGCTACGGAGTCGGTCGCTCACGCAAACTTCAAAATTAATTAAAAATACCTTCCGAGCTATATTCGCTTTTGATATCTTGCAGATGATATACGGATGTTCACGAGAATCGACCCCGCAGGCTATCTCTGCCCCGAAATTTTCTGTCAGTACCCCTTTAAGAATCTGAAGGGGCCACTTTCAATTGAATGTTGACTGTATTTGTCTTTGGGAAGTTCGAATAGTAAAATTGCAGTGCAAATTGAGCTGAATAGCAAACACTGTGAGAAGAATATTTGAAACCTTGAATATTCGCGTACCCCTACTTAACACCTAAAGTTTGACAAATTTTGTGGAGCCAAGAACATCAAATTGCAATATACACGCTTTGTAATCCGTGACGTGATGCATGGTGATTTCGACATGAAATTTAAAGCTGAATTTTGTTCCTCTATCACTAAACCTATGATGGTGAAATGTACAACATTAGAATTGTCAGAGTACGATTCATCAATCTGTAGCAATTCATGGTTTATCTTTAGTGTTCCTTTAACTCTCTTGTTTGAACAGCGGCCACCAGGATTACATTAGTTGACGTTTTGCCTCAATTTATGGCAGCATTCGCTCTGTCACTCAAAACTTGTAAAAATGTTTGCACACCCCAAAATATTTTGAATACCCAAAACAGGTGTCTGTTCTCGCGTTGGCTTTTGAGTGCTTCAGAGGCCGGGGATGGAAGGAACGACAATCTCTGCCTCTCGTGCCCGTTTGTACTGTGGCCGTACAGCTCGTGTCGGCTTCGTAAACTCCCTGGAATTGTTGCAGTGGTAGTGTAGTGTTTGCGTTTCTCTGCCCATCTTGCTGGTGAAGATGGCGTGTGGGTGTGGCACGTAAAATGACAATGATCGGCTTTTCCAGTGGCCTAACATGGATGAGTATCCTTCCAAGTACAGCCATCTTGCACGTGACTTATTGACCAGTGTTTGTACGCAAGCAGCCGACATCTTGAGGAGTTGCATGCGCTGTTGTGGTACACAGAAGTCTTCTTGCGCTAAACGTTGGGTTCGGTACTCCCTTTCATGGCGCAGCCGTCATATAAGGCTACTGCCTACAAGGCATTGCCTGCTCCTCAAGCAAGAAACACGAGTGAACACTCGCAAGTGTCAGTCAGCCTTCTCCCGTCCGTGTGTGTAAGCACTAGTTCATGTGTATTAGTGTCAAGTTAGTCCTGTCGTCAGCCTCGAAGGAAGGTTCTTGTAGCTAATAGTTACCATGGCTTTCATCCACAGTTGAAACATTAATCATTGTCATCGAAATCCAAAGCTTCATTCACTCTTTGCACAAACATCCCAGACATTGATCACTTTCTGGTCTCCCCTCCTTCCCACCCCTCTTTTTCTTTTGTTGAATTTCTTAGCTTTGGAACGCACACACAACAAAAAAAAATTTGTGGGTCTTGTTCAAAAACCACCATACAGGACCAAGCAGCACTCGTTTTGTTCACAATAACTGTTGTCTTCAAAGCCGCACATCTGCGAGAATCGCATAAGCTGTGCAGTTTTGGCACTGCTCACAGGCAATAAACTGTACATGGTTACACATTTCTCACTGTGGTGTCTAGAGAGTGTGCCCAGGTAGAAACATTTGCCATCATGTTTACTTTCCTTTTTTTTCCTTCATTTGAAATGTTGCTTTCCAGCCAGATTGACTGTGGCAAAAGCACCTCGATTTTTTTTTTTATATATAATGTAGTATCATCGTTTGATAATGAGAATCCTTAACTTGGTCTGCCTTGCCTCTGGAGTTGTATGAATAATAAATTTATCCATTGTTCGTTTAAGGCCGAGGGTTCCACGTTGAAGGCTGGGCTGATGATACATGTTGCTCTGAGCCTATGTTGTGGAAACGCGCAAAAATGGAAAGGGCGAGGGTGTTACAAAGCATGTACACGACCTTTAATAAGCACAGATCACTTCATGTTAGAACTGTCTAAAAAGAAATTCGAAAATTTAAAAATGAGATTTTTGGGATATGGCTCAAAATTTCCTGTATAAGTTTATTCCAAAGCAAAAGTTGTTGGTTCATACTTCTCTGATGCACACCTACAATATTCTGTCGCCTCTTCCACCTTGTATGTCATCACAGCATGACTCAGAGCAGTAGTTTGTTGAAAAACTAGCAGCAGTTCTATGCACGAATACAACCGATGAGCGATGCTCCCCGAAAAATGGGAAGCAAATGACTATGCGCCTGACCTCTGTGCTGCCTTTTGTGAAGGCAGTAGGGTAGGGAGAGCGTCAGCTGCGCTCGGAGGCGGGGACGACAAAGTGAGCGAGTATGCAGCACGCGTGAACCATCTGCTGCCGCACCAGCGGGAGCGCGCCTGTTGTTATGCTCGATGCGCTTGCCCGGCGCAGGGAGTTTCGCCGGAAATGGCGGGGAAGGCGTTGGCGAAGTGTGGCTTTGCTCCTAAAAACTTTGGAAGTGATAGCCAGGGTGGCCTGCGTTTTAGTCTGCTTTGCATGCAACCAGCTGGTGGCAGTCACCATAGCTAGGAAGCTTTGTGTTGGAATAGAAGGCCAGAAAATTGCTTTACCCACATCTTAGTGTGTTTGACGCGTAGCAAGCTTTCAGAGTGCCGTATTTCGTGCACAGAGTAATCTTTGCTTCTATATTCTACTGTCCAGGAAAAAATGTCTCTCATGTGTCTTCAGTGAGTGCGTGTGCACGCCTATGCTTCGACATAAGATTCGCTTCTTTGTTGCGCACTATTTTGCATAATGTGTATTGCCCAAAAGCACAGTCGTTCGGAATACTTCCCTGTTAAAATTTATTTATCCTACACAAAACCACGCATTTTATGAGTTGTGCCAAATTTGCCGGGCTTTTTTTTTTAAGTGTGAAACTTTGCACTAGGCATTCCCTGAAACAAGTTGCTTTGTATTATTAATCTTTACAGTGTGAGCTCAACGAAGTGATGGCTAGGTTACTTGGTTGTGTGCAATGGTGTGTTGGTAAGCATTTCTAGTGGAACAAAGAACTGCATCCAAATAGTGGAACAATCGTGTGTCGGTCTTGTACAGTTCGAACGAAACAGAAAGGCCCTTCTATTGTGCTTCGATCGGGCTGGCTGCATGAACAGCGTATCTTTGTGGACGTTTAGTGTCCTGGAGAGATCCCTATGATGTTGTGCCACATTTTTAGTAGTGACACTTTGATGTGTTGCGTTAAGTGTGCCTTTGTGCAGTTTTTTTCTTTTGCTGTCGCACTAGTGTTGTAGGATAAAATGTATATCAAAATGGCTTGCCGTTCAAAAAGTGGATGTATGCTGTAGCGTTGTGTCATGTATCGCTGTTTTTCATTGCCTTATTGCAATTTTTTTTTAATTCTCGCTCAACTGTGGTTGCATTCTCTACCTCTTGAGGTTGTTGGGCGGTACTAACAAGCGTATTTCTTTTTTTTTATCTCTCTTTCTCGTCACCCACAGAAGATCTCAAGTTTCCAAACGTCACAATGTAACGACGCACACAACAAAGATGCCAGTGTGTATTTTGCACAGTTATAATTGTGACTGTAGCTTAACGCTGTAAGCACAAGACGGTTATTTATTGTTTCTTGAAATAAAGCTAACACTTCACAACTGTTGTCGCTGATGTCACTTGAATGTGCAGGCAAGCATATTATTTTTATTTATTTCGAAGCTTGCTCATTCTTGCACAGCTACTTAGCCCGCCCACATTCTTTTCGTACATACATTGATTACTTCAACAGAAGAAATGCCTTAGCTCGATATTGTGGTTTCTTGTCACTGGTGTACAGAAAAACTTCCCTGCTCGAATAACCTTGCTGTGCGTAGTACGATTCTCCAAGTAGGCAGCTTTATTTGTGTAACTTACCTGGATCGGTGGGCTATAGGTTATGGCGCTCGAACGACGACTCGAAGGTTGCGTACTTGAATGCCGGTCGTGACACTTTTATGGGGGCACAATGTATACTTGGAGACGGATACAATTTATATAGTCCGAAGAGGCCCAACCCAGACTATCAGAGTGCGACAGCCAACAGAAATTGGCTGGCGACTGCCAATTGCCTCCACAGGTCCTGCTCGTGTCATTCTGGAGTGCACGCCGATTGGTGCAAGTTTGCGCATTCGCGTTCTATGAGGAAATTTTATGGACTTCTAAAGTTGTACCTGTATACATTTGGGTTAAAAAAACACCAGTTGGCCAAATTTTCTGGAGCCTTCGGCTACAGCATCTCTCGTAATTATATTGTGGTGTAATCATATTGTGGTTTTGTGATGTGAAACCCCTACAAGTATGAGGGTTGTATGCAGTTTAACATGTGTGGCACACATGCCTTATTTTCTACTAAAAATCAGCATTATTTTGTTTTTGCATAGACATCTGAAAAGACGTCAACTTTAATACATTGCAAATCTACACTGCGAGAAGACAACCTCGCCACACGGAGGCTGAAACAGCCTGTTCGTACACACACACCACTCGTAAGGCAATTTTATTTTGTAAGAAAATGGCATATGTATCTTCACAAAGATAGGTCCACCCGTTCAAACACATTGGAACTTTTGACGACTCCTCTCCATTTAGGCATATAGGCAGAACTTTAAAATTAAAGTATTTCTGTGCGAACCTAAAGCTCTTCGAGCTAGTCTATCTGCGTATCTATCAATCAAGTCGCCTACGCCTGGGCGCTCTCCTGGTCTTCTCCTAAACTTGACACAAAAGTATAATTATTGCATGGGAGGGCATTAGAGTATGACGGACATGACTGCCAGTTCAATGTATCAAATGAGTTAGATACTTTACGCGTAGGTTAAGAAACCCTTTTCCGCAGTCACATGGCACATACCCGTATACCATGACCCACGGAATGCGGGTATGAGCCCGCATTCGGTGGGTCGTGGGTCGAGTTGTAAACCAAGAAAAGCTATTACAGGACATGAACATTTTTTACACGTTATTGGAGCTTGTGTGGCGAAAAATACGAGGAAAGCGTCGGCAGTGATGTAGGGGAGTGCAAAACTTGGAGGAACTGTAAGACTGAAAATCGCATGTAGATCAGCAATTGCGTCCATGCACTCTGTGTGACAGTCCGAAAAAGGCAACCAACCCTTCTTTCAAAAGAAAGGGGGGGGGGGGGCAGGTAAAGCTTGGGAGTGCTTGCTTGATTCTTCTAGAAACGGTTTGACTTGTTGCTCTTGTTTCTATCGCATTGCGCAATTCTGCCTTCTGACTGTTTCGTTTTTCGAACCGGGTATCTGACCTCTGTTTGCGTGAGCGCCGTGCTTCGGATTCTACACGCAACAATGTCAGTCATGAGATCATACACAGGCATGGAGGAAGGAAAAAACTTAGGAGAGGCCCTGACGTCACTTGTTGTGAAGCCGCGGTGAAGCCGGAAGTCGGCCATATTGACTGGGCAAATTCTCCTCTCTTGTTTACATCCGAATGTAAAGCAGAAGGCGCGACTCTCTCTCCGGCTCGGAAAGCACGTGGGCTGCGCAGCACGCGTGTGGGGACGATCCAAAACTGATGGAACGGGGCTCAACACTCTGGGCCAGCGCGACACCTTCGGCGAAATCATTTCGTCCGAGTGTTAACAGCGAGTAACGGCTCGCCGACAACGAAGCAAGTACAAGAGCAAGTACACGCTAGATGCTCTGACAACGGCGAGTGTTTTCACGTCATTAATTCAGCAACTGTGCAGACCACACCATCGGTCGTGCGCCTTCTTCTATGGTTACATTCCGACACGAGGCCGACGCAACACCCGGCCACTGTGCCCGTGTTCCGCGTGAAACTCACAGGCGTGAGCATTCTGCGACCGTGGTGACTTAGAGCACGGTGCAAGTGACACTTGAACGCGTTTGCTCCAACCTCGACATTACAATGCTGGGGGCGAGTATAACAAGCGTAACAGAAAGGGTGTTTTATTACGCACACGCAAGTTGTTACTGTACGCATACCGAACACGAAACTATGTATGAGCACATGGTCCTCATTGCGTACGCTGGGCACAACAGTCAATTTCGTCCGTTGTCACAAGCAGGAGCACTGCACAGCCGTCACTGACCTGCAAGGCGTTCGCCATCGTTCCGCTTCGTCATGGTGCCCAACGCAATTTCGTGGAACACTTGAAATGCTTCACCCGCATCATCTGCCACCCGACACGTAGATATGCACTCGTTTTATGCGCTGTTAAGGCCCCGTGGTGAACAAAGGGCTTGTAAACATTGCTAAAAGTACAGTATCTGCCAGGAGAAAACTGCACAACCAATAACGCGGCTCAGAGCACGAATATTGTCCGCCACGGCTCAGCACCAGACCTGCGGAGGCACACATGCCACCGCCATGGCCGCGGCCGCTCACTAGACCAGCTACACTGCGCCACACGTAACCATAGCAATGCCGCGCATGTGAACTCGCTCGCTGGATTCCGTGCCGACCGGTCGTGCCCTTGCGATCTCCGACGTCAGCGTAGCTCTGGCTGTCTGGGCTGGCCCTACGTCATCTCCTGACGTCGACCTCCGACGACAGCGCAGCTCTGACCTACTGGACTTGCCCTACGTTATCTCCTGACGCCGACAAGAGCTCTCGCAACCATGGTGCCCCGTCCTCGGACTCCTGTGACCGTGTTTCCATCTTTCCTATCCCCTCGATATGTCCTCGCTCGCTGGCCTAGCGCATCTTTCTTTCTCTATACCTTTACTTCTATCATTTTAATCCCTCCTCACCCCCATCCCCTGTGAGCTACTGTTGAGGTGTCGCACCGTGATGCAGACAGTTACGGGGCTCACTTTTCTCTTCTTTTCCCTCTCTTAGAATCACTTCGCCATTATGCTCAGTGAATAAGGCTCTGGTAGGTGTTCTGTGATAAGGTCGTCATGATGTCATTTCCTCCACACTTTTCACGTAGCGCGCCGGCTGGGCATGCTCTCTCCTATCTTTCCTTCCTCCGTGTATACAGGCAAGAATGAAACATACGTAAAAAAAACTAATTGCTTTCGACAACTTTGAGAAAAAAAAAGACATCAATTTAACCTGACAAGAAAGTATTATCGCTGGCAGAACAATAGATGAAAGATATTGCTTTATTGAGCATAACGCATACAAATACAACTGTCACCGGCTCACCTTTGAAGGACGCATTTGTGTACAATAGAAAATTGTGGTATCGCGGATGTGCAACGCTAGCAATAGTCTGCAATTTCTGCCCCGTATTGATGCCTGTTGATGTGAGGCCTAAGGGACGGCCTTGCGCTCTCCCATAGTAGAGTACCAAGTACTCTAAATCGTCCATCAGAGAGAGAGAGAGAGAAACACATTTATGTAAGTGGCAAATAAATTCACCGAGGATTGGCGATGAGGCCGTACCTGGCCGCTACCTCCTCAGCTCTCTGTATGGCCTGGGAACTGTACTTCCACGGCCACTGGATGAAAAAGCGCGTGCATTCTTTCATCCAGTGGCCGTGGTAATTCTAGGCTCGTATCTCGAAGTACTCTTTCCCATGCCTCGGACGAGGGAGTGGTCAGGAGATCAGGTGGGGGTGGATCCTCGTTGCAGTCCCTAGTATCTGAGAGAAGGAGGCGACGGAGCCACATTTTGAGCAATGCGGACTGAACAGGTCGGAGTGAATGTGTGCGTATACCCGCGGGCACGGGAACGAGTTCGTTTGGAGGCGGCGCCATGTGATTTCTTTTGGTTAAGTTTGGGATGCGGCGGTGATTTTGTTCGACATGCTAGGCGACAGTGCTGAGCAATTTCGTTATAGAATATGAGGGGTTCGCCGGTGTTCTCTGGGTTCGTGGTGGGGCCCACCGCTCGGTTGACGAATTCTCAAGCTTATCGGTGGGCGGCCTCGTTCCCCGGGTTTCCTGCGTGCGCCGGGACCCAGATAAGAGGTGTGGCAGTTGGGCTAGTTGGTATGGCATGATGATAGTCATAGCGCGAGAACAAAACGACGACACAGAGACAAGAATGTCCTTAGTGTCCTTCTTGTCTCTGTGTCGTCGTTTTGTTCTCGCGCTATAACTATCGCCAGATAAGAGATATGGGAGGCAGATCCTCGTCTTCGAGGTAGGCGAGAGACTCAAGGAGCCGTAAGGTACCGGGAGCAATGGTACCTCGAGCGAAATGAGAGATCGCAGTTTTTGAGTCATTGAGGATGGTAGTGAACCCGGAGGACACCACGAGAGCTGTGACCGCTTTCTCGGCTTCGGCGGGATGGTGGGCACGGACAGAGCCGGCTACTCACAAGATTGCGTCGGTGTAGAGGGGGGTGCGAGACTGCGAGTAGTTATTACGCTAAGCGCGTACGTGCTTGGTTGAGAGGGGTAGCGGGCCACGTCCACGTAGGCCACATCGGGCCGTGAGGCGTAGTCGTCGTGTAAGGCTTGGGCTCGTGCTTGCCGTGTACCGTCGTGGTGTCATGCAAGCATGTTTTTTCGGCAGTGGTGTGATGAGAAAACATCCACGTAAAGCCGAAGGTATAGTGACCGGGTCTGCGCCCGATGGCGAGGCGGTGAGTCCTATGCGAGCGAGTATCCAGTGGCCGGTCTTGCTAACGCGAAGTCTCTGAATCTGTGCTGTGCGATGTGCTTCGATGAGTTCGTCGAC